TATCTCTACGGAGAGACATGCCACATATATACTGATCATAAGAGCTTGAAGTACGTGTTTACTCAGAAAGAGTTAAACATGAGACAGAGACGGTGGATGGAGTTGATAAAGGACTACCATCTAGTTATTGAGTACCATCCAGGTAAGGCAAACGTTGTAGCAGATGCCCTCAGTCGGAAGAGTTCGTCTGGGGCATTGTTGACTAGTTTGAGGGCACTGAGGGCCCAATTGGATGTATCTAGCGACGGTGCCTTATTGGCACGGTTCGAAGTGAGACCGACCTTACTGGATGAGATCAAGAAGAGTCAAGAGACTGACGCAGAACTTATGAAGGTCCGGGAACGCATGCAAGCGGGGCCGGTGGAGGATTTCAGGGAAAGAGATGATGGTCTCTTGTTATTTCGTGACTGAGTGTGTGTACCGTCAGATGAGGAGCTCCGTAAGTCCATCTTGGAGGAGGCTCATTCATCGGCTTATGCCATGCACCCAGGGGGCACGAAAATGTACCGAGATTTGAAAGAAAGTTACTGGTGGTCTGGAATGAAGAGGGAAATAGCCGAATACATCAGTCGATGCCTTACTTGTCAACAAGTTAAGGCGGAACATCAGCATCCAGCAGGCTTATTGCAACCACTTTCCATTCCTGAATGGAAGTGGGAACACGTGACTATGGATTTCGTGGTGGGTTTACCACGGACAATCAGGAACTATGATGCAGTTTGGGTCGTTGTAGATAGGCTCACGAAGAGTGCACACTTCTTGCCTATCAACACTACCTACCCACTTGAGAGGTTAGCCAAATTGTATACGGATGAGATCGTGAGGCTGCATGGGGTCCCAGTGACCATTGTATCCGATAGAGACCCACGATTCACATCACGTTTTTGGCCGAAATTCCAGGAGTCTATGGGAACGAGGTTGAAGTTCAGTACTGCTTTCCATCCACAGACGGATGGGCAGTCTGAAAGGGTTATACAGATCTTAGAGGATATGCTGAGGGCTTGTGCGTTAGAGTTCCAAGGAAGTTGGGACAACCACTTAGCACTCGTGGAGTTTGCCTATAACAACAGTTATCAGGCAAGTGTCGGCATGCCTCCATATGAAGCATTGTATGGGAGGAGGTGTCGTACACCGTTATGCTGGGACGAGGTCGGCATGGCCAAACTCGAGGGTACTGAGTTGGTTGAGATCACCAAGTCAAAGGTAAAGTTGATTCGAGAGAGACTCAAAGCGGCTCAGGATAGACAAAAGAGTTATGCAGATAAGCGACGAAGAACCTTAGAGTTTAAGGTTGATGACGAGGTATTCTTGAAAGTTTCTCCTTGGAAAGGAATCATTCGATTCCAAAACCGAGGGAAGCTTAACCCACGATACATAGGTCCATTCAGAATTATAGAGAGGATTGGGGCCGTTGCATATCGTCTACAGTTGACTCCTGAATTAGAGAAGATACATAATGTGTTTCATGTATCCATGCTTAAGAAGTATGTACATGATCCCTCTCACGTATTGGAAAAACCGCCTGTAGAGGTACGTGAGAATTTGAACTACGCCGTGCAACCAATCAAGGTCACCGATAGGAAGGTGAAGAAATTGAGAAGCAAGGAAGTCCCAATGGTTAAAGTACTTTGGAAGAGCGAACGGGTCGAAGAAGAGAAATGGGAAACAGAGGCTTTGATGAGGGAGCAGTATGCTTTCCTATTCGAGTAGAGCTGTGAATTTCGGGGACGAAATTCCTGTTAAGGGGGGGTGAACTTGTGACACCGCACCCGAACGTCCTTGAAAATTTGATTTAAATATTCAAAGTTTATGTATTGGATTTCTAATTCCCAAACAATTGTAAAACGATTAATGTTTTACGTAATTAATGATCGAATATTGTACTGTTCGAACTCGTATATTAGTGTCGGACATACAAATACTATTTGGGACTTATTAGTAAATAAAAGAGCCCAACATTATCGTAAATAAGTGATAGGACGTTTAGAGAAGAATACAGATGCCTATAGTCCCATCTTTAACATTATTGAGCTAAATAATGGGAGTATGATTTTTCTTCTATAATATCCATTAAGTAAATTATTGTGATAAACCTACACATATTGGAGATCAATAATGTGATGTAGGAAGTTGACTTGTTCTAAATAAATTAGGATGAGTACAAAAAGACATCTTTGACAAAAGATAAAACAATAGGACCCATCTTCCCATTTTTGGAAGTATTGGTAGATAATTTGGATCCCAAATTGATTGGGATCAATTGGGAACCACTCCACATGGTATTAGTACCTGCAAGACAAATAAAAATGGGTGAGAGGACTTACCTTGGCCGGCCAGCTTGGAGAGAAGCTTCACAAGACATGATTAGCATCAACTTAGGGCCACCATGAGCAGTTTTCGCACAAATTGGTGTGCTGTTTGTCTCCACTCATTATGGGAGATATACTTGACCAAATAAGGTGAATGAGGTGTCCTTGGATAGCCTTTGAAGTCTATTTTCATATTTGAGTGGTCTCTGTTCGAGAGGATAGATTTATCATACAAAAAAATCGAGCTGGAGTGAGCTGTGGTCTGTAAACTCGAGCTGTGAGAGTGCTGAGACTGTTGGGTTGATATCTCGAGCTATACCAATCCAATTAAGGCGTGTGAGATACAAAAAGAAAGCTCTCAAGACGAGGAATCCGTGAAGGTATGGTTTGCATCAATCGGAGTAGTGGAAGGCTTCCAAATCGTCCGAGCAAAACACAACCTCGTAGAAACGGATCTACTCTTCTAAAGTGAGTTGTTAACCCCAAAACCTTTCCTTTCTTTTTCCAAATGATATGAACGATTGATGGAGCTATTGTACACCAATCCAAGTGTATAATATGTCCTTATAGATTTAATTTATTGATGTAAAGGTTATGTACTAACCTAGAGCAAATCATGGAAAAACTAGGAAACGTGTTCACCGGAAAACACCCATTCTAGGGGCTGTTTTCGTACCAACGTTAGGGGTTGAGCTAGCGCTTTGAAGAGGCTGTTTAACACCCATATTTGAGCAAGGAATCAGTTCCAAATCCACCTTGACCAAAGTCTTGACCATTGGACCAAGAAGGGATAGTTTAAAGCTCAATTGAGGTGAGGATGACCGACTATATTGCTTATAATCCTTGGGTTAATTTCATAAGATTACCTAAGATAATTAAATGTGATTTTCATGGATTATTAATGATTAATAATGCCTAATGAAAATATTGTTGTTTATTAATAGAAGATGCATAATATACAAATTTATGAGTAAATGGTGTATAGTTATGCATTGTAAGAATGGTGATATGATGAATGTATAAATCATGAATTTTTGTGATGAAATATACTTTTACTTCATGTATAGAAATCATGAATGGATAAAAGTGATATTTTTGATATTGAGATTAAATCATATATAGATTGGGAAATTCATGGGAATGAGCCTTATAACTATGAATTAAAGAGCTTGGTGGCTTAAAGACAAATGGATTAGTATTGATTTTACTAGTCGGAAATGTTAGTATGAAAAGTGATAGAACAAATCCTAAGGGCTTGGATTGTGAGAGAGATACACCTTAAGTAGTCTTATGAGATGTCTTAAGGTAGAAATGGGTAAACGCTAAGTACCGTAGGAGTAGGCCTCAAAGGCTACTCATAATAGAGGAACTCTAGGCATAGAACTTACTTAGTGAACTAGTATCGTGACTAGAGGAAGCCTCTAGCACGATGAAGAATGACTGGAGGAAGCCTCCAGCGTTCGTGTAGGACGACTAGAGGAAGCCTCTAGCGTAACGTAATGTGACTGGAGGAAGCCTCCAGCACAACGTATGTAAGGTGATTAGAGGAAGCCTCTAACACCAAGTGGAGTGACTAGAGTAAGCCTCTAGCACGACAAAACATGACTAGAGGAAGCCTCTAGCATGGTAAACTAATATAGATGGGTGTGGCTTGAAGTCACGGGGAAAGGGTTAAATGTTTTCAAAGTAAACATGGGCCTTCGGGCGACTACTTGACTTTATATATAAAGTAAGTATACTTTCAAAGAGGGTAACCACGGGTTATGACCTATAATATAATAACATCCTAGATTGAGGGTCTTGGAAATTGAAACTTTGATTATACTTAGTATAGTTGTCATTGTACTTGTCAAATGCTTCCAAGTACTGACCTCCCCTTCACGGGAGAGGCCACCTCACAGTTTCAGGTAGAATTTGAAGGTTGCTACCCTCGCCGTTGCTCCAAGAGAATTCAGGAGAAGAAGACGTGGTTCGTGCTCCCTCCGTTCCTGTTTTAAACTCATTTAAATTAATGCTCATGGATGTTATCTTTTGAATAACTATTGATGGCTTGTATGCCCATGTTACGCCAAGTGTGGCTTGAACACTTGTATTAAACGTTCCCGCTGCTTTGAATGAATATTTTATATTATGTTTGTTTATGGATGTACTATGTGTGAATGATATCCCAGACGCCTTGTATAGTATGAATGTGTTGGACTGCGGTTGACCATTTGTACTGTACGGCGGATTGTTGACGTGTCCGGGTAGGTCCAGGGCGTAACATATACGGTACCCTTCATGCAATCGATCGTCTTCCTCGTTGGTGAAGCAGAACCAGTTGCAGCAACGTTGGAGTTCAGTCGTGGTCTTCCGGCGTAGACGATGGTGGAGCAGTGAGTTGGCGATGCGGTTCAGCAGGTTCTCCGGTTGTCATCCTCTTTACCGGAACTTCTGCAACGTCACTCCGGCGACAGTCGCTTCCACAACCCCGGTCAAGGCGGCGACGATGGTTCTCTCTTTCCTAGGCTACTTGTCCGACAACGAGCAGTTGCGATTGGCGAATTCTCTCACGTCCACCGGCGGTAACTAACATGCGTTACATGCCCCCGGCGTAAGACTTTAAAATCGTTCTAGAGAATCTAGACTGCGATGGCTGTCCTCTTACTCTCTGTCTCGTTCTTCTTTCTTTTCTACTACGTATCTGTTATGTTTTGATTCACGGCGGAGTTTATTGTTCGCCGCAGCTTCGTTTCGTTTAAGGGTAGGCCGCCGTTCGCGTATGTAGTGTATATATATTATATAGGGAAAAGTACGGATTAGCTACCTGTGGTTGTAGCCATTTGCGGAGAGGGTCATGAGCTTAATTTTTTGTCAAAATGGTATTCGTGGTTTACCTCCGTTATCGCCAGAGGGGTCTCAGCCTACTGCTGTTATAATTTAATGACGTGGCACGTTATTCGGCCTAAATGGCTGCCGCGTGGGGTTCCAGTCGTCCAGCTCAGTAAACATTTTGAATTAAAGCCAAAAAACACTTAAGTATGTCTTAGAACGCAAAATGACGTTTTAGGAGGGTTTCTGCAAGTCGGAGAAGGTCAGTCCAAACTTCCTCTTGGAGCTGTCGCACGTAAGTTCAACATTGAAGAAGGTAAGTTCACCTTTGTCATTTTACGCATATTGTGTTATTATTTGTTGTTCAATTTCGTACGTTGTGGGGTCATTAAGGTTTTGTTGTTGAAAATTGTATTGTGCGGTTGTTTTGTGATATTGTGTGTACAGGAATGGATGATGAGCACGTGAATCTGTGGATTCACCATGGTGGTAAATGGGACTGCCTGAAGCAGAAAAAAGAGTATTTGGGAGGTGATGTGCTGAAAAAGGAAAATGTGGACATAGACTACCTTAGTAAGTTTGAGTTGGATGGCTATGCTGAGGACTTGGGTTATAGTAATGGGGTAGATATGTGGTTTAGAAGGTTCAGCATTAAGGAGGTTTGTGAGCCTGTTTCTCTGCAACCCATTGTTTGTGATAAAGATGTACAAGACATGTTGGTTTCCAACATCATGGACCACACATTGATGTTTACTTTGTTTCCAAAAAAGTAAAAAGGGGAATTTAGTAAAAGACTCCTCCAAACCATCAAATTCGAATATTGCATCCCAGGGTTCTGTACCTACCCAAACTGTTCTGGAAGCCCAATCTACATTCCCTACCCAACCTGTTGAAGAAGCCCACACTTCTATGGCTACCCAAACCATTGAGGAAGCTCATACTTCAATGCCTACCTACACTCCACCAACTACCCAAACTGAACCCCAAGCCATTACATTTTTAGAAACCCAATATGGTAGTGAAAGTGAGACAGATGAAGATTACCACTGCTCAACCTCTGTCAATGACAGTTCTTCAATTGACCTATCTGATTCCAACCTAAGTGAAGCTAGCTGGTTATATGAAGATCTACAAGGAAGTGAAGAAGAGTTGTTTCATGAGGCAATTGAGGATTCCATAGAGGAGTTGGAGGTAAATGCAGAACACGAAGTTGATGCTAGCCATCTGAAAGCAAGACAGGTAAATGAAGAACTGAGGGAGTTGGATGATGAAGACTTGGGGGAGTTCAATGAAGATCCAGCCTATAGTGAAGAACTACATAGCATAAGAGGGTCATCTGATGATGAGGCTAGGTATCCTGAGTATAATGAAGAAGCAACATCTAAGGGCACTGAATTGTGCAAAGGTATGAAATTCTGCTCACATGATGAATTCAGAAAACCACTAAAGGAGTGGGCTATAAAAGGGGGTTTTGATTACAAATATCAGAAGAACACTAAGTCCAACATCTCTGTAGTTTGTAAAAATAAGGATACCTGCTCTTTTAGGGTCCATGGTTCCAAACTTAGGGATGCTCCCTATTTCGAAATCAAAACTTTCAGACCTAATTAAACATGATTGTCCATTTAATAATAGAAACAGTCTGGTGAGTAGCACCTATTTGAGTGAAAAATATTTGGATGAGTTGAGAGATAATCCAGAGTGGGATGTCACTACAATGCAAAAATCCATTCAAAGAAAGCTGCGTGCAGAAGTAAGTCTAGCCATGTGCTATAGAGCCAGGGTGAAGGCTAAGGCCAAGATAGCAGGAGACATTAAAGACCAGTATAGGAGGTTGAGAGATTATGCTGAAACTATCCTAAAATATAACCCTGAAATTATCCTAAACATTAAGATCGAAACTGAGCTCAAGGAGGTGGAAGAACATGTTGGTGGTGAAGAAGGGGTTCCTAGGGTACCCAGAGAGTTGCCCATGTTACAATACATGTATATGAGATTCAGTGCTCAGAAGCAAGGCTATTTTTCTGGCATTAGACCCTTGATTTGTCTAGATGGCTGTCATTTGAAGCATTCTATGGGAGGACAGCTATTATGTGCAGTAGCTAGGGATGGAAATGAGAACATGTTTCCTCTAGCCATTGCTTATGTTGATAGTGAGGACAAAGCGTCGTGGACATGGTTTCTGGAGGTCATGTTTGAGGATTTTGGAAGACCCGAAGAGACGAATTGGGTCTTTATGTCTGACAAGCAAAAGGTATAACTTGGTTTCTGCCCATATGAATGCTTACGGTTATTTAATGGTTTGTGTGAATGTTATTTGACTTATTTTAGGGGTTGGAATTAGTAAATCTTCTATATTAATGGTTACTGTATGGTCTGTGTTATGGCATATTTCATCTTCTAACCATAACAATGATTAAAAGATGTCATGTATTACTGCTTACTGTATGTGTGTGATGTGTAGGTTATCTACTGATCTGTGTGATTATTTTTTGACTTATGCTAGGGTTTGGTTGAGGCATTTAAGGCAGTCAATCTTCAAAGTGAGCATAGGTACTGTGTTAAGCATATGTACGAGAACTACAGAAAAGTATTCAGTGGTGGGGAATACAAGAAAAAACTCTGGTTAGCTGCCAGCACTGGGAGCCTCAAGGCATGGCAGAAGCGAATGGAGGGGATAAAAAGCTTTGATGAGGCAGCCTACAAATGGTTGATGCATTTTGATCCCAAAACTTGGAGTAAGGCTCATTTCTCACCACATGCACACTCAGATGCACTGCAAAACAATATGTGTGAGTCATTTAATTCATACATCCTTAGAGCCAGAGATATGCCCATTCTGAGCATGTTTGAGTGGATAAGAAAAAGATTGATGAAGAGGTTTCATGTGAAGTACACTGCAATGCTGAAGTATAAAGGTGAAATCTGTCCTAATAAACAAGATCTGCTTGAGAAACTTAAATTTGAAAGTAGGAATTGTTATGCCACCCCAGCTGGGGACAAGCTTTATGAAGTTGATTTTTATGATACAAGCCATGTGGTCAATTTGAATACCAGAACCTGCACATGTCGAATGTGGGATTTAAATGGAATTCCATGTAAGCATGGAATATGTGCTATATTTGCAAATAGGGAAAAACCTGAGAGCTATGTCAGCCCATTTTACTCAAAGGCCACATATTTAGCTGTGTATGAGCACATAATTCACCCTATGCCTAGTAAAGATGAGTGGGAGACCACTGATTTTCCAGATATTATGCCCCTAGTGCCCTGAAAACCTACTGGTAGGCCAAAAAGAGAGAGGGTCAAACAGCCTGATGAAACAAAGAATCCATTTAAGGTATCTAGGGCTGGGAAACAATTGCTATGTGGAAATTGTCATCAAGTAGGCCACAATGTTAGAGGTTGCAAAACTTCAATCACAGGGGAAACACCATGGCAGAGAAGAAATAGGCTTCGAAAGGCTAAGATGAGGCAAGCAGAAAGGGATGGGGAGATGGTGGAGCAGCCAAGTGATAGTACTACTCAATTAACAACTTGTGGCAACCAGTAGACCAAAACAAACAAAGAAGAGAGACAGATCAAGTATCTCACAGTCTCAACCATCAACAAGAAGAGTAACAAGGAGTACCAGCTCACAACCCTCTATGGTAATTGAACAATGTCATTGCAATGTAATCGGTATTAGTTATCACATATGGTATAGAATGCTAATAATATGTTCACTTTCTTGCAGAATGCTAATGGTTCAAAGACTTGAGCAAGATAGGAAAGAAGAATGAGGTGGCAGGAGGTTTAAGAGAATGTTTAGTTATGTAAAATTGTAACATTTGGTTTATGTTTGTGTTTGAAGTATATGGTTTGTGTTTTTTGGACCCAACTTTTTTGGACCCAACTGTTTTGGGGTATGGTAGTCATGTATTGGACCAAAATGTGCTCATGTTTTTGGGTGATGATATTCAGTCATGTAATGTTACATATGGTTATGTTTTTGGGTGATGATATTCACAGTGATGTAATGTTACATTGGGTTGTTTTTGGGTGATAATATTCAAAGTGATGTAATGTTACATTGGGTTGTTTTTGGGTGATGGTTTTAAGGAACTTTGGAATGTATTGTATTCAAAAATTTGGTATGTTATGTATTGATAATGTATTGTGTTAATGTATTGGTTATACTACACAGAAGATGTCCAAATTTTAATGTTTGAGTTCAAGTACAACTTGTAGCTTCATCATTCAGGCATACAAGACCAAACATTTCATTCAACCTACATACACAACAATTCATAACAACACCAAACATTTCATTCAACCATAATTCATACATTTAAAAAACAAGTCCATCAATAATTCATAACTGACCACAACAATTCAACAACAAAACAACAAACATACACAACTAATTTCTTTCAGGAGCAATAATTCATAACTGACCACAACAACAAACAACAACAAACATCGAACACCTTCCAAGCTGTAAACCTACACTAATTTAGGAGCAATAATTATGACAACAAACGCCAACAGCCAGAGCATCTTCATCTTCCAAGTCGAATTGTCATTCTTAGCCATCGCCAATAGGATTTGGGCATTTTGTTTCTTCAAATCACCAATCACACACAAGCAAGAATTGATTTGACACTGCAATTCGAACTCCTTATTCTTCATAGCATCCTCAACGCTTGCAATTTTTTCAAACAGAGATTCAATGCTTTCATGGGACACTCCACAATAGCTTTCATCAACCCTCTCAAAGAAATTGCATTTCTGAACCCCACCTGCGGAATAGCGACCACAACCATGAAACTTTTTTCCTTTGTTCTTCTCTGTCGTTGCTGTCCAGATTGGAGCTTGGATTCCACAGTCGCATTTCTTTATCCACTCACTTCGTCCGTCAATCCTCGTCGTGCTTGCACTGGAGTTGGATTTCGAAGAACTCATTGTTACGCCCTGTATGTTTCGTTCCTTTTCCTTCTTATTACTGTTTTCTAACAAAATCAAATGACTATATGCTTTAATTCAAAATGTTTACTGAGCTGGACGACTGGAACCCCACGCGGCAGCCATTTAGGCCGAATAACGTGCCACGTCATTAAATTATAACGGAAGTAGGATGAGACCCCTCTGGCGATAACGGAGGTAAACCACGAATACCATTTTGACAAAAAATTAAGCTCATGACCCTCTCCGCAAATGGCTACAATCACAGGTAGCTAATCCGTACTTTTCCCTATTATATATATACTCGCGCGTATGGAGAATTCTAGAGTGATAACTAGGGTTTTCGTTGTAACCGAAACTTTGCATAAATATTATGAATATTAAAAAGGAACGTTAACCAATCAACCATTTTATTGTGCCTTTTAAAACCATAGCATTAGTGCGTAATAAAAAAAACGCTTGTAACATGCCCGCCTAATATTAGTTAATAAAATGCAAATTTACACATTTTATTTGCCATAATACTTTAAGGTCAAAATTTCCTTAAAATGTCACTTTTATGAATTAAGTCAACATTTTATTTGATTAATATTATTATTTTAATTTATTAAAATTTTCGGAGTGTCACACCCAGCCTTTCCATGACCTTAGGTAGGAAAGTCTCCAAGCAATGAATGAAAGCTCTAATGCTTGACAGTGAATCTCCCCTTCTCTTTAGGTAGTCATAGACTCTTATTCGTTTACCGTTAATGTCTAAGACCAACAGTATCCAATGCATTGTTGTGTTCAATGGCATGTAGACATAATCAGCTTCTGCCCACGACATTCCATATCCTCTATTTGATCCAAGCATTGTGTTCATTATTGTGCCACTATAAGCCGCATCTGTCATTGTGGTTTTATTATTAAGCACCATTTCACCTTTCACCTTGAGCACCTCGAGAAACAAAGGATCTGTTGTGGCATACTTTTGCTTCAGTTGGTATTGCTTTCTTTTCACCGCCAGGTAGTAAAATGCCACTCCAATATGCTGAAATTAGTAAAAATCAATTTCTTAATGATTTTTATGAAATATATTACTATAGTTTATATTTATTACACAAAATTTTATACACTTACCGTGTCAATCAACCAATGTGGATTTGTGAATAGTTCATAAATCCATGTCTTTGTTCTTATGGTAAAATCGTCCAATTGAAGACCAAACTTGCATTTCACTAGTTCCTCTTCTTTCTTTTTGTATTTTTTGGGACATTGCTGCCATGGTTCTTTACTAGCCCCTCCAACACAAATTCTTTCGCCTTTTCTAAATCTTCTATAGGTGACATTTGCTTTGGATCCTCACTTAATGGCCCTCCAATTCCAATCACTTCAGAAATTTATGTCTCTTTTATCCTCTTTAATGCCCTTTCCATCTTCCTTTTCTTGGATTCTGTGGTTGGGTTAGGAGTGTATCTGTCTGGACTCCTAGCAGTCATTTTTGACCTTTTAAAACCTTTTTGTTCAGCTCCAATAACACCTGTATCTCCATTCTGTGCATTTATAACTTCATGATAAGTTTCATATGTCATTATAGTAAGAAATTAATGTGTCTGTAATTCTATTAACCATTTGTACTGTTTTAATTTTTTTCTGAAGTTTTGGTTTTCAATATATCCAATTACCTCATCCTTAAAGTTGTGAGCATCCCTGATTTGTTTATCTCTTTCTTCTTTACTACTTAGCCCACACTTATTAGATTCACTCCCTATCTTCTATGATCTTCTCTTCAGCAACATATACCTACATAAAATTTAATGTTTGTTAATGCTTATGTTATGTCACCATATGTGAAACTAGATATAATGGTTGTACAGTTTCATCTGCAAAAGTAACTCCTCTTTCTTTTAAACCCTCAGTGTCCATAGTCATTGCTTCATCTTCCTATAATTACATAATAAAGATATTGTAGTTAGTGTTTTTAATAAAACTGAAACTGTAATAATATTTAAGTTACCTCTTCTTTTATTTTCTTGTCAGTTTCTTTTAAGTCATTAATGACATCATGAAGGACACTATTCACACGCAATTCTAACACTTGTATGTTTATGCTTGCTTGAGATGGAGTTAGTGAACCTTCCTCTTCAAAGATTATTGTCTTCTATTTTTGTGCACTTATGGGATTTGCATCGTGGCTTTCAACTTCTTTATTTTCTTCATGGTGCTCACTGTCTGCAGCTTGTACCTTTTGCACAATATTTCCTTCATCCTTCTGTGTTTGATCAAGATGTAGGTCAAAACTAGGCATTTATGGAACCAAAGCCTCTTCATCTACCCTTGTGTCAGAAGTTTCATCGTTATCCATGCCCATTTCTTGTTCATTATTTTCAGTTTCTCCATTTGATGTGCTTCTTCTAAGCATTAATGCTTTTAGCATATCTGTTTGCTTCTTTTGACCATTGAGAAGTCTTTGCATTCCATCTTCCAACACTTTTATTCTACCCTCAAGCTGTTGGGTCTTCTTGGATTGGAGCACAATTGCCGCCATTATATTACGCATAATGACCTTGTCCCTCATTTGGTTCCCAACACTGTTTCTTGTCTTCACCAAACGTTGTAATCTTTGAAGTCCTCTTGTTGTTGCACTCTCACCATTTTGTTCCTTCATGCCCTCATTTTCTTTATGGTTGTAGTCAGTTTGTTCACCATCACATGGTCTTTTTTTATGCTCATTTTCTTTACCGTCACTATCTTGACCATCACCATGAACTTCACAATCATCTTGATTCTCTGAAATTGCCTTTTGAAGTGCATGAATAGCAAAGTCTGCTTTCTCTTTTGATAGTCTATGCTTCAGAGTAAGACAACCTCCTTTGCCTAAATTTACTACCTTCTTTCTATACAATTCCTTTATTTCTGGAATCTTAAGTTTCTTCTCAGTTGGTTGCATTGGTTGATACTCAAATTGTATAAAATAGAAAGAAAATCAGTGTAGACAATAAAATCAAGTAGACAATAAAATAAAGTAAACAATAAATTAAAGTTTACCTCTTCATTCAGAAATATGGCAATCTGCTAGTGTAGCAATGTTTGTCTTTTTTGGTGTTGACCACTTCAGTAGTCTTGGCCACATTGATCTTCTGCCTTCCTCTACCGTACAAACATTTGCTAACCTAAGAGCTGGGAAGCTTTCAAATGGCCATATTTGCAATGCAAAAACAAAACCTCGAAAGGTGAACCTATCTTTTGTTGCCTTTTGAATATTTTGTGTCCACTTAGGCGCTTTTTCCGTTAAATTTGCCCATATTTCATCTCCCCAGGGATACTTGTTCACTAAATCCAAATCATCTATAATATTAAGGTACATTGTTGGACATTTCACTGACTTCTGGTTGCCAATGATAAAGTTTGCAATCAAATTGAGTACTGCCAGCTTAACCCTATCTATGGCTTCATTTTGTACAGGTATGTTTTCAAACTCCTCAAAAGCCCTTGTTATATCGGCCCTTGAAACATTATTCCTTCCGTTAAAAAATCTTTTCCATGTGTCACCTATACTGTCGTCTTCTCCAGGTACTACCGGTTTATCTCCTCCCATCTTAAAACCTGTGATTAATGCCAAATGATTCTTTCTGAAACTCACCACCCTATTTCCTATATGGAAATTAATCATGTCTGTCCAAATCTTCTTGTTAAGCTTCTTCACATGATTTTCAGCTATTAATACCAACAACTGCCCATTCATCCATTCCAAATTACCCATGTCCAATAATCCTCCAAAACTTGTATATCTAAATTCATTGAGTTGATCTTCATTTAACAACTTCTTTATTACTTCAATGGCATTATACACATTTGAATAGCAATTCAATTTTAACTTCTTCTTTGTACACAAGACAGGGTTTGCAATTGACCTTACAATTGTCTGGTCACAATAAGTGTATAAGTATTATAATCATCAGTGAACAAATAACATATTAACATTTTATTATGTATATACTCTCTACTAATTAAACACAATGTCTATATACATCTCTTAAACAACATGTCTATATACATTAGCATTATCTATATACAC